AAAATATCTGCTCATTTTTTAAATTTGTTTATGATTTCTTTTACTATTTATGAATTTTTAACGGATCATTTTAAAGCCGCATTATTCGTGAAAAGTTTATAATAACTTGTTATCAGATTTTTTAATATTAGAACTTTTCCTTGCAAATAAATCAGCCTATAATTTTAATCTAAAATAAATTTTGAAACTATTTTCTTCCATTTGCTCATATTTAGAGATTTTGTTTTCACTGTAAATCAGTATAGAGCTGAAATTATCGCTGATTCCTTTTTGGTTCATTCATTCTTCGAAACAATTGGTTAGACTAGATCTTAGGTCTATTGTTTATAAAGCTACATTAGAGTTTATCTCAGATACAAATCGTTTGATTAACCGTTTGGATGTTGTATTATCTGTAGATATAGCAAATGAATCTATCACACATCAAAAACATAATGAAAGTTTATGGCAAGAGATTTCATACTTATTATTAAATAGATGCAAAATATTTATCTAAATTTATCATGTAAAGTATACGACTTATTTATTATAATCTTTTAATTTTATAGAATTGTAAAATGCAATTTTAATTTTGAATTTTTCGAGCAAAATTAAACTCATAACATTCTTTAATACATAGGGTTTTCTATAAGGCCTACTAAGCTTAACGAAATATTTTATAGAAAGATGTAAATAGTTTATTTTCCTATATTAAAATGTTAATAAAACATATTAGTAATCTGTCCGAAGGTCTATAATTGATATATAAATATTAAAATTATATAAAATTATCTTAAAAATAAAACCCACTACTACTGTTTCATATAATAAATTTAGGCCACGGCTTGTAAAATCAATTGAAAATTGGGAAAGAAATTATTATAGTACAACTAAAATTAAATTAAAAATGTTTATTATCTAAGTTGCTAAATCTGATAAGGGGCTGTCTATAAATGACATCCACACTGGAAGGGAGAGAGGGGGTTATGACAAGTGAGACAAGGAGGGTTAAACTTCAATGTACAGTATATTTGTTTTGTTTTATTTCATTAAATTTTATACAGTTCATGTATAAAATTAAATTACAGTTCATGCATTTTACTATTCATATAGTGATAAAAGTTTTGAGGAGGTTGAGTTTTGTTGGACATCCAAAGATAAGAGGGGTTACAGAAACTTGGATAAACTCGAACAATGGGAGAAGGGGAGTAAAAATTTCAAGAAAAATGTAGATGTAATTTACGGACAGCCTCTAATAGCTTTTCAGGCTAAACGAAAGATTAACAACCAAACACAGTATATAAAATATTAAAGATATTCAAAGTACAGTTGTCCGACGTTTTTTAATCCGACATGCTCAGTAGTCCGACGTACCTCCCGTCAAGGTACCCGTCCCCGTTACGTGTCTGCTTGCACAGAAGCATGTCGCGACGTGAATCTTCCCATCCAATTTTTACACGTTGACACACATTTCGTGTGTTTTATGTGAGCAGTTCTGTTCGAACAGTTGGAGTAGAGAATATTGTAAGTTACTGCTAGCAAAACAATGCGAAATATGTAATTATTTTCGGTAATCCGGACACTTTTGGTAATCTGACACACCGTTGGTCCCATACCTGTCGGATTATCAAGGGACAACTGTATTCTAGAATTAGAACATAAAACAACACAATCACTAAAGCTTAATAGATAAACAAAAAAAATTTGATGTTATAGATGTTGAATATTAAATCATTATTTTTACATTGTTAGAGCAACTCAAACTTCCATGAGTATTTAACAAATTCAAAACTGTTTGGCTAAAATTAATTGTAATATTATCAGATTGAATCTGGTTGAAATATTTTTACAACTCCAGTTTTTTACAATGCATCTATTGGACCTGCCCAAAAATTACTAATTGCTTATTTTTATTAAAAAACAATCCTGTTTTTTATATATTAAAGTAGCATAATAAATCATTATTTTTACATTGTTAGAGCAACTCAAACTTCCATGAGTATTTAACAAATTCAAAACTGTTTGGCTAAAATTAATTGTAATATTATCAGATTGAATCTGGTTGAAATATTTTTACAACTCCAGTTTTTTACAATGCATCTATTGGACCTGCCCAAAAATTACTAATTGCTTATTTTTATTAAAAAACAATCCTGTTTTTTATATATTAAAGTAGCATAATATAGAATATATTCTGTTAATCATAATAAATTCATTTCCTATCTTGCAATCTAAACATTCCTCGTTAGAAGTGTTTCTAAAGAATACAAATACCCAAAACTTTCTGATATTTAAATTCTATATTTCACTTAATGGGGTTTGCATATTGGAATACAATGATAAAAAATAAATACATATACAGTAGAGAGTCGATTATCTGAAAGTCAATTATCTGAAAGAATTCCAGTCGGCAAATTTAAATTTTTACCAGTGCTGTGACGCTGTAATCTTTGGCTACGTCTTCGGCTACTCAAATATTTTATGTTTTTGATACTAAATTAATTTCTGAAGTATAATTTTTTATTGTTTTTATATTTTCAATATATTTATTTTGTTTGTACAAAATAAAAAAAATAATTTTTAACAATACAATAGTCTTTGTTAGGCTTAACATCAACGAAAATTCAACGCAAAGCGACACGCAATGAAGAAAAATTTCAAAATGGGATAGGTTAATATATTTTTTCGTACATAATCAGTTATCCGAAATATCGATTTTCCGAACAACCCCAGTCCCCAATTGATTTGGATAATCGACGCTCTACTGTAGATCAGATCGCGGCCGGATGGCCGAGCGGTCAAGGTGGCAGCCTACCGCTTCGACTGAAATAATTAAATCCTAAATATGCGGCCGGATGGCCGAGCGGTCAAGGTGGCAGCCTACCGCTCTGGGGGACCCGGGTTCGAATCCGAACGGGTCGAAAAATCCCCAGGAATTTTTCGGGGGGGTGGTCCGTTTGGATATGTCGGGCCCCGTCCCTCACCACCCGGCAGCCCCATTGTGGACTTGGCCGAACCCATAATGGGCCTGCAAAAAGAGGCCCTCTTAGTGCCCACAGGGCTGAAAGAGAAAAAAAAAAAAAAAACTGTAGATCAGATCAGAAAAGTTATTTTGATAAATTTAAACTTACACAATAACCTTCACAAAAATCAGAAAACCAAAAAATACTTTAATAAAACTCCAGATAATGATGGAACCTTTAGAAATATATAAATCAAAAAGGAAAAGAAGATTGGTGAACTTTAAGAATGAGGGCAATTTGTCTAAAGTCTGGAGGTCACTATATAAGGTTCTTAAACAAGTCTAGCTAAACAGGTGAACTAGGTTATCTATAATTTTATAAGATGATTGTATTTTGTTTTTATTAACACACTGGTTTTGTTTATTTGTATGTTATTAATTTCAATAAATTACAATATTAAATGTAAGTTTGAAACATTTGATTCATATTATGTTTGATGTTCAGATGTTCAATACATTTGAAAGATTATTTCAAATGTAACAGCCTGATGATGGTCTTTTAAAAGGACTGAAAACATTAATTGGAGTTTAATTAAAGTACTGTATTGTTTGGCTTGCTAATTTATGGGATGGTTATCATAAAAGTTCAAGTCAGTATTTTAGTCAGTTTCTTCAATAAATATATTTTGATAAACTATCAATAAACTAGTTTTGTAAAGATGGCAACCATTACCGAGTGTAAAATATCCTTGAAAGTACATCTTCAATAAAAACAGAAAAAGTACTTGTTTTTACCCTCAAGTCCAATGCTAATCTTTCTACATTAGTTTTACTTGTAAAAACATTAGTTTTCATCATTTACATATTTCAAATGCTAATATACCAATTACACTTAGGTAATTTTTCAATAAAAATATATAAAATCTGAATTTTTTACTATAATGTTAGCATTTATTTATTTTGTAATATTTCAAAAACATAAAAAAATTAATTTCTTTGAAAAAATTATTTTAAGATCTGTTTATGTTGTTTATACCATAATTAGCAATTAAATTATTTTATTATTGTAATAAATCTTTTTCTACATAAAAAATCTGTTGTTACATAGCTTAAATTCTTCTTTTTATTTAAAAAGAAAAAAGTTTAGAAAATTAAATTCAAAATATTTGTCCAAATAAAACTTAACTTTTATGCAGATTTTAGGTATTAATTTGTTGAAACTTAAGCATACTAACAAAATAACAGACCTAAAAATGTTTATTTGGAAAATTAGTAATCTTAAATTTAAATCTGCTATTTTTTTAATAAAAATACATAACACTTCACCAAAATCTTTTGTCAAAAAGTTAGAACTTAAATGTAAAAAAAGAACAAAAACTTTTATTATGTTACATATTTAAAAATCAAACAATAAACTAAATTTAATATTTAATAATGCAAGTGCATAATTTAAGATTTTATCATCATCTAATTTCATCCATTGCCAAAACTTTCAAAACAGATAAAATAATACATAATATTTGCAAAAATTAGTCACTAATAATTAAAATATTAATGATTATAAGTATTGAGATATAATATAATTAAAAAATAAATTATTCCAAAATATTCAAAAATAATAGAAATCATTTAACAGATATCAACTAAAAAAAGAAAGTAACTTAATATTTTTGTGAATGGTTTCCTGAATATTTAATTTTCAATTTATTTTACATCATCATAACATTCTACTGTTAAACTACAATTTAATAAATCATTCATGAAAATAATAACAAAAATAATCTAAAACTCCAGTTCAAAATTCTAGAATATCTAATAAATAATTCAAGGCATAGAAAACCTCTTTCTTAACAAAAATTTCATAAATTATTTGTTAGATTTTAATTAGAATATTTTTTCCTTCATAATCATAATGGAAAGTTATTATATTATAAGAAATAAAGAAAAACATGCTTCTTTTCATTTAAGTTACATATGCATATATATTAAAGTACATAAATACAGTACATTACATACTATCCTGTGTATAACTAATGTCTATTTTATATTGTATCATTACCATCAAACTCCACACTATCACAAAAAAAGACACTGAAAATATAAAAAAATTATTAAATTATATTACTTAACTTAATATATTATATTAGATTTGAAAAAAGTATATTTATTAACAGAAACTACACAATTTTAAAAATATTTTAAACTAATCTTCTCAATTCTGTAATTTCAGAAAAACTTGTTTACCAGGATTAATAATTTGCCGGCTTATATGACTCGCACATAACAACAATATATTTAAATTTACTAAACAAAGACAATCAAAAAGGCTAATAAAATTCCTTTAATGTTTATAAATATAGATGACAACAATCCAATGCACACATTCTGATTTTTGTATTTAATATAATTCTCTATTTCGGTTCTTTAAATCTTATTAAAATGTCAACTTATTAATTTTAAATAGAAGTTTAAAACGATTATGAAAATAATCCTACATCTTCAGGCTACTAATACACATCAAATTAAAGCTTTCAATCTAATTTTAACTGAACCATCAAGAAATTTCCTGCCTTCCAGCCAAATATAAACTAAATTCTAGCAAATGTTGACAAATAGGAGATATTTATCGTGTTCTCTAGACTTTTATGGATAGTGTTTTAACAGGAGTAGAGAAAATGGTCTGAATTTTGGCGTGCTGTGCAATGTGGGTCGATTAGTTTCAACCTACTCTCACTCTGTGGGGCATTTATGTAAGCAGTGAAAGAAAAAACGAGTTTACAGTCAGTTTCTAAAGATCATTCATCAACAACACGTGGCCTATAACAAAACACAAAACGTGTAAACATTGCATAAACGGTTCCATCATGTCTCCATTGTGTTTATAATTAGGGTTAGTGGATGATGGTGGAGCAGACGATAATCTGCTAAGTGTAACTCGCGTATATGACAAATAATCGAATTATACGGTTTATGAGGTTAAAACTAATTACCTACCATTTGGTAATTTATCCAATTTGTACAGTTTTCTTTGACATTTAAGATAAATTAACGGGAAAATATCATCCTGTTTCCTAGTGCAGCTGAAGCTTCCTACTATCGTGGCCGACTACAGCAGATACATCAGCTGAATGTCAGTCCCGCATTTACGGTTTTTAAATATAAACTTTTATTAAGTAAATAATATATATATATATTTATAGACTGTGCTTCATTTTAAATAAAATATATTAATAAATTTTTATTTTTGGTAAGAGAAACGTATTAATAATTACGATATACTGTACTGTATATTTTTTATTTTAAAAAATGACGTCTTACATTTTAGCGCCGTTTTGAATCGTTCCAATTCCTCTCCGTACAAAAAATATTTTGTTAATATAAATTAAATTGTTAATAATAATCATTATTTCATCGAGATTGTTTTTTTAAAAAAGTTATAAGTTTTACTGTTATCGTTTAAAAACGATGTATTGCCAAAAATATCTTCAATTGCTGTATATTGAATATAAAAATAAGCAATTTAGTTATATAAATATAATACAGTAATTGGTTTTAGCCTTTCTTTAAAATAAATAATTTATATTATTTATTTTATTGCCACGTCCCTTTTTGATTATTGTCATAAAACAATAATCAAAAGAGACGTGGCATAGATATAAAATAACGACTATATTCAGTGTTAACTTTTAAATAAGCATAACTAATTGCATATCTCTTTCTTATGAAAACCGAATAACACGAATTATGGAATCGAATATGCTTATTTAATTCAATTTGCTTCGTTATTAAATGCGCAATAGTATAAAACTTGTATATTTTAATACTGAAATAGTAATAAAAAAAATATGATCGACATATAAATAATAAAATGCTATTAAAATCTAAAATATACATTTCTCTAAAATTTAGAATGAATTTTTATATATTTTAAAATTTAATTAATTTTATGTAAATAGTTTATTAAAACTAAAAATATTTATATTAGCCGAAATATTAAAATATTAATATTATGCTTGTATGTAAAGATATTAAAATTTTCTTACTTCTATTTTAATTAACTAAACAAATAATTCGGAAATTAATTTAAAAATAAATTTAAAAAAATACAAGTAAAAATAATAATAAAGGTAGATACTGTTTTCATATCTTGTTTTTAAAGATTTTTTTTTAATTAGCTTGCAATCAAGATAATAGATCTGTTCTATTGATTGGAATGGCGCACGTTTTTATGTAGCGTGAGTAGCGCATTTAAATTTGATGCCATTTTTTAGAATTTCTCACTGTAAAACTGAAGACATTCTGTCAAAATAATACAAAATGTAAATTATTCCAACCGCATGATTACGATGATAATTATAACAAAAATTCAGAATTATATCTATCTCATTGACTAATAATGACGATTCTAATAACTATGAAAAATAGCAGTTTTCCTTTTAGATATAGGCTAATTAAAATTTGATTTTTTAGAAAGTACTTAAATATTAATATACTACGTTCTCGTGTTTGAAACAAGTATTGTTTTTTTTTGGTATTGCGTTTGTTGTTTCTATGTATTAGCTTTGTGTTTTTGAGTGTTTTATTCATTTAGAGAAAAATAGCTATACAATCCATCATCTAGATTTGTGTATTTTGTCGGCTTTTAAATTATAATAAAAAAGTAATCAATTTTAATCAAAATGTGAGATTTCATCTTTGATTATCACTAAAAAGAATCATTTCAGCTATAAAATATGACCAAAGAGTAATATTTTCCTGTTTATTTTTTATTGTTTATTTTCCTGTTATTATTTATTAAAAATGGAATCATTATTTTTGATGCAATCATGCATCAAAAATAATGATTCCATTTTTAATAAAATTTTCAATTAAATAAAATTTTAAGCACTCTTATATAATAAGTTTTCGTCGTAGTATTTACATTATACATGAAATTTATAGTGATGATAAAATAATATTTAGACAGCTGCGGAAAAGAACAAATACGTTTATAAAATTCTAAGATATGTTTAAAGTCTAATATTTCACATGTAGATTTATAAGATTTTAATTTAATTTGTAATTACTTCGAAGTTTTTACAAATAAAAAAAATAAACGCTATGAATTATTTTAAAACTAAATTTGAAATAAGTTGTTATAAATAAAGTGTTTTTAAAGTGCTTATTCAGAATTAGACGTATAAATGTGTTAATCATTACATAATTCAGTGATATAAGAATGATTTTAGGTGCAATATATGTGCAAACTTAATTACACACGTAACTTTCACAGGTTAAACAGCAATAACTTATCTATATTGAATTTAATGATACATTTGCCAGAGATTCAACTATCTCTGCAAGAATTTGTTAGGAATGGGACTTACGATTTATAAATACATTTAATATAGTTAACTTGTAACTTTAGCAAATATATTAATTGATTTATTGAAATAAAATATTAAAATGGATTTGCTTCGCGAAGCATGAGTTCATTGATGAACACTAATATGATCCATTTTATGCTTAGAATGCATTCTAACCTATGAATAAAATATTTTATATCCTTCCAACACGCGAGAAATAAGATATCATTTAACATGTTATTTATTTACACAAGGTGAATGTATCTATAATTATCCGAGATTTAGCATTTTTTTTATGGATGCAAATTACTTCTCCAATAGAGAGTTTACGGTTCCTATAAAGATCTGCTGAGATTACTTGTAAATTCTCAAGAATTAATTTAATCCCTACTCCTAATTAAATAAGCATTAATTAATGCTTAGTAACTATAAATAGCCCTTATTAATAACTGCTAGAGAGGTTACCACACTTCTTATCCTCTCCGTAATGAATACATATTTTCAATATATTTCTCTTTGTATTTCTAAGTCTGCTCAGGAAAATTAATCATTTGAACCAATCATCAGTCGGAATAACAATCTCGTGGTCCTACAAAGCATATAAGGATATCGAATACTTTAATTAGTGTTAATTGCTATGCATTAACAATTTGAGAGAAAAACATCGAGATAATTCATTGAAACTTGAGAAATTGAATGACTTTATTAAAGTCATTTATCTATTTAAAACTTGATCCTAATAAAAATATTAAGCGTAACATAGATATATAGTACATTGTTACACATAATAATTTTATATTTTGGATTGATTATGTGCGAAATATTTTGAAAAAGAGAGCACAGCATCGATTTTTAATAGCCTATATTGTATACCTAAGCCTACATTTATTTTTATTGTGGTCATTAAATAATTAAATATGGTAGATTACAATAATCACATGGTTGGTTTTTTTCAGATCTCAGTCTCATAATCTACTTACTCGTCTACGTGCAAAACGACTCTATACGTAGAGTGGTTTCAGTTTTCGCATCATGATTCCTGGACAAAGAACTGACCAGCATGGACGAGGAATTCAAATGTGAAAAATAGGAAATAAGATTGACAGTGTCGTGACTTAGGTTTTCATGTGTCCTAGGCAAGATTTTATTTTTGTCTCCTCCCCTTTTCTGAAAAAATATTTTAAAATGTAAATATTATACTGATAATTTTTGATACTCCCATTTCACTGCGTCTTGGCCTAGTGCCTATGCACCTATTGGATCTACACTGCAGATTGAATTCGAATCCGAATCTCCTATTAAGATAAATAATACTATACCTTGTGAGTATCCCTTTAATAATATCAAAATAGAAAATTTATAATCCTGACACTAACATTTTATTTTCAAAATTTTGCACAGTCTTTGCAAAAATATAATATATGAGATATAATTAAAAGTCTAAAAAAAGCATTAAAAAGATTTCAATAAATTCATTTTGACTATCAAATTTCAGAGTAATTATGTACAGTACCTAATAAAAGTTATCATACTGTATTTTCAAGTTTTTTGTTTGAAAATTTGTAATTAAATTAAAAAGTACCCGGAAATTAAAGAATATAATTGACAGAACAAATGTATTTGAACATCTAGAACAGGTTTTTACATCAGAAAAAATGTCATCTTTCTCTTTGAAATATTAATTATAATAATGTTTTCTATTATTTTTTTATGGGAACTAACATGGAAAATACTGATATTGAAAAAATTAATGGCTAAATTCGAGAATTTGTTAAACAGTTTATAGATTTAACGATAAATAGCTTGATTGCTACTTAATAAATTCCTATAAGAGAAAGTAAATTTTTAAAATTCTTAGAGAATTTTGTGCATGGATTGATTAAAATAGGTAACTACTTGTATCCTGTTATGCTCTGATGTTTGTCATTAAATTAATTGTTATTCCTACTTTCTCAGTAGTGACAACAACAAAACTGTATTTCTTAAAATAAAAACTGAAATTCTATAGAAAGATAATAAAAATGATTTGAAAAATTTTTAATAAATGCGAAAAAGTCAATATGTATCCAGTATCTTCTTATCAAATGGCATTTGACAGGAAAATTTAAATACAACTGGAACAATTCAGAATGAATTGAGGAAATATACATACATCTTTTTAATCAACACTACAAAAATATGATTTGTTTAACTTCTGTAAAGCCAATTTATCATATAACAATCTTCTCAAAAATCTACTTACATATAATTAATAGTCAAAAACAGTAAACATAATAATAAATATGCAAACTCGATTTTTTCATTAAAAATTCTATTTATTTTTTTTATAAGATTAATATAATATAATATTCTAAATGTTTATTAATATTTACTTTTATCTAATTTTTCTAAAAGATAAATTTATGGAATTAAAGAATTTAAACAAATCCCAAGATAAAAATTTTTACAAATACTGTAAAAAATTTATGAAAATGGCGTCATGAATGTGAATTTGTTTTTGTTTTATTGATTTTTCAGAATTAAAAAGTAATGAAGTCGTTTTTACAATATTGTACTTTAAAATATTTTTATGTAAATTGATTGCTGTGGTAGTTCCGGGGGAAGTTGAACTACAAGAGAATAAAACTCCATGATGTAAGTTAGTATAGCCTGCAAGGTCTGTTGCGTGTTGTTACTTCGTCATCAAGGGACTATTTTATGTGGATGTGAACTTGTTTTTATAGTTTACTGATTTTTTAGAAGTCGTAAGACGTTCCTAGAAACATAAGTAAGTTTGAAAATGCAAGAAATATAAACAAGAAAAGGATTCAAAATAAAATAATAATCTGTACTAAAAATAATAAAAAGTAATATCTTTATACTGTATAATAATAATTTAAAAAATATGACTGGCTACC